TCTGTTTAGCCAGTTATTTCCGTCGGTTCATCCCGAAATTTTCGGTGATAGCTAAGCCATTATACGATTTAATAAAGAAAAATGCCCCGTTCGTGTTTGGACCGGAAGAAAACCGAGTTTTTGAGACGTTGAAGCAACTATTATCCTCGCAGCCGATGTTAGCGATATATTCCCCGAAGTGTGATACGGAACTGCATTGCGACGCGAGCACCAGTGGCTTCGGCGCGATTATGCTGCAGAGGCAGAGCGACAAGATTTTCCGGCCAGTATTTTATTTTAGCAAGCGAACGACGACGGCCGAGTCAAAGTATCACAGCTTCGAGCTGGAGTGTCTCGCTGTGATTTATGCGATAAAGCGGTTCCATATTTATCTTGCGGGTATACCGTTTAAAATCGTGACAGACTGTGATAGTTTCCGCCTTACGTTAAGTAAACAAACGGTCAACCCGCGAATTTATCGATGGGCGATATTCTTGGAACAATACACGTACGAAATTGTACATCGACCCGGTACGCGTATGAGTCATGTTAATGCGTTAAGCCGCTGTCATAGTGTCCTTGTTCTAGAAGCAAACTCGTTTGAACAGACTTTGTCGATCCAGCAAGACCGGGATAAAGAAATTTCGAAAATCCGTGATAGACTGGAAACGTCGAAAGATAAATTTTACGAGTTAAGAGACGGTCTCGTTTACCGTAAGGACAAGAATAAGAAACTCTTATTTTTCGTACCCTCATCGATGGAGAATAATGTAATACGCACGTGTCACGACGATATAGGACATGTCGGAATCGACAAAACGGTCGATAATATTTGTAAAATTTATTGGTTCCAACGGTTGAGAGATAAAGTTAAAGCCTATATTTCGAATTGTTTGCGATGTATCGAGTTCAACCCTTCGAGCGGTAAGAAAGAAGGATATTTGCATAGTATACCAAAAGAAAATTTGCCGTTTCAGACAATCCATATCGACCATTGTGGTCCTTTTGAGAAAACCAGTCGTGGATATAGACACATTCTTTCAATTGTTGATGCGTTTACGAAATTCATAAAACTGTATGCGTGTAAGTCGACGACGTCCGAAGAGCTAATCAGACATTTACGGAATTATTGTCAAGCGTATAGTAAGCCTCGACGCATTGTGAGTGACCGCGGAACGGCGTTCACTTCCGATCGGTTCAAAGAATTCGCAGCCAACGAATTTATCCAGCACGTACTTGTCGCAGTAGGTACCCCGCGTGCGAATGGACAAGTAGAGAGATTCAACCGTGTCATCACCCCAATGATCGCGAAGTTGTGCGATGATCCGATAAAGTGGGACCAAGTTTTAAATAAAGTTGAGCATGCGATTAACAACACTGTATGTCGTTCGACGGGAGAAACTCCCAGTAGATTGTTATTTGGCGTCGATCAACTCGACAAAGTAAACGATAGTCTTAGACTGATTCTTGATTCAAGTTCGGACGGAAACCGCGACTTATCTTTAATAAGGAGTTCTGCCTCTGAGAGAATCGACAAATGTCGAGAGGAAAATGAAAACAACTATAATCGGAAACGTAAAGAGGCAAACCGTTATCGCGAAGGCGATTATGTTATGATACGTAACATCGACACTTCGGCGGGTAGTAACAAGAAACTAGTACCGAAATACAAAGGGCCTTACATTGTAAAAAGAGCGTTGCGCTTTGACCGATATGTAGTAGGTGATATAAAAGGGTTTCAAGTTACGCAGAAGCCTTACTCTGGTGTTATTCCCGTCGACCAAATGAGACCTTATATTCGTTAAGTAGTAATTTTGTAAAAGTTAATTTGGTTTATTGTATACGACGTTGTAACTTTATTTTCATTTTTGCATTGTTAGAGCCGTATGACCGGGACGGTCATATTGTCAGGATAGCCGACTGTAGGCAGTTCGGTTGAGAACCGAGTGTAAATAGTTCGGTTGAGAACCGAACGATTCCTGAAACGCGTGAAAGACAAAAGAAGGGCTAGTACGTTGGGAGCATCGTTCTCCCCGTTTTCCCCCTCCAGTCCGGCGGGCGAAAAACAACTGCCGAAGCAGTAGAGGTGGGGCGAGTGTCGCGAGCGTGCGAAGACATGATCGCACTATGTAGAAACGAGTCATTATTCTGTATCTTGTAATAAACTGTTCTATTTCTCTTTATTAATCGGGTCTACCGTATCGCATTGCCGAATCCGATCGTCCATCCCGACTGAGTCATCCCCACACATATCTTAAAAAATATAAGGGAATTATATATTGTATTTATAAAATCGCCAATATTCGAATCCAAAGATCTAAATTTTGTGTGTATTACGTGTGCACGCGAAACGCAGAGACTTTATGTTAAACATGTGTCAGAGCCGTACCACGATTATATACACTTATAGTCATTTGAGCAACCAAATGTGATTGTACTACTTGAAACAGAAACTATTTTCGTAAAAACATGGTTTAAATCTATAAAAGCAGTAATAGCGCAAAATTGTCCGTTACTTTTAACCGCAGATTCGAAAAGTACAGTAGAAGAGAATGTAGATAAAATACAAGAAGAAACAGATACAAGCAGAACACGATTGTACAGAAGAAATAAATTCCGCGGTTGTACACCATACAGAGACTATATAACTGGAGAATTTTATAACCGAAATGCGCACTTTATTATGTATTCAGGAATTTAAATCACATGACCGACCCAGTCCAAGGCTAAAAGTAATGTGTTTGATCATAATTTTATTCTAATATAGATTTTATGACATTACATTTTTAATAGAATTCAGGAATAGATAGTAATTTTCTTACTGAGAGACATATTCAGACATAAATGAATAGTATGTAATTTCTTATTCTTTCAAAACACGTATACCATGTTATATATAAGATAACAGAATGATTACCGCATACATAATGTCTTAAAATTTTACAATTTGTCGCATGTTATTCCGTAGTTATAGGTATTATATGCAGCTACAGTCAATCCATAATGAGTTTTATGTAATTATCTCGTAAATTCTTCCTTTATCGTCTGCGTGTTCTGCTAATGATATGTGATAGGAATAATTGTAAAACATTTTATATAAGTTATACTTTTATGCTGTACCTTGTAATCAATATAACTCGTTGCATCTGTTATAATTTTTACTTTTCAAATGGTCAAAATATATTAAAAAGCATAAAAACAACCTTGGAAATATTAGTGCCTTCCGAATTTTCACGTTTTATTGTAAATTAAATACAAGTGTAATCATAATCGCCGATGAAATATAAGTTTTTTTAATAGTATACATTTGTTAGTAAATAAATATCTGGGTAAAAATTGTTCATACTATGCTCAAACAAAGTGTATATAAGATTGCATAATATTATCCGTTATATATCGCATTATTTTCCACGATTAGCGGTAAGTATAGCATAAAATAGCTTTCTGAACATATTATATGTTTATGAGCATCATGTTACAACTAGACACACTGAGAAAAACTACATTTCAATATTTATTTGTGGGATATAAAGTATATTGTGTAACACATTTATGTGTAGGAATAAACTTTATTTCACAGAAATAAATTTTATATCCTGCAAATATATTTTCAAGTATCTGTTCTAAGTGCCTCCGCAAACTAGTCAGAGCTAATTGGTGTTACTACTTTGTACATACTCGTTTAAGTCAAATAATTTATGCTGTAGTCAGTAGATAAAATGGGTGATCACCGAATGATGGTATTACAACGTACAATGTTTGCTTTTAACGTATCGCTAAAAATCTCCCAGGTGAAATTTTAGCACAATTTTGCACATGAAATACTTAACCTCTGTATTTGAAGAATCTGCGGGAACTGAAAGATCAGCGTACGGTTTTTTTACAAAAAGGTATTTGTTATTGGAAGTTACATAAAAGTTTGTTATGAAATATACCAACAATTACACACATAATCTTTATTTTATTTAAATTTATTGAACACGGTATATTTTTAGGTGATTTATTTACTACAAGGTTTAAATAATATAAAAATAAACATTATAACTTACTTTCGACAAAATAATACTTAAAACTTTTATTACTTAACTGCCCGTTATGTAAAAACTGTTTCATATATAATTATGTACAACTAAATAAGACCAGGGTTTCTAAGGATAATGAAAAACAAACACGAATGCAATAGTGTTATCTTAGTACTACAAACGTATAATATTAAAGTTTATGGGAGTTTAAATTTATTAAGTTTGTGGGAAGATAAAATTGTTCAGCGTGTCAGACGTACGTTCAAAATTTTATTTCAGCAATCGGGTGCGGCGAATCAACCTTCCACACTTAGACCGATTTTGTACCCCAGTATTAACACGAATTTTTATTTACACACCCGATACCTCCAACAATAAACATTGATATTACATGTTCGTAATATTAAAATGACACTACTACATTCATATTCGCTCTTTAATAACCTTAGAATCTTTGTTAGTTATTTGCATTATATAGAGGAGCTTTATACATAATTTAGTTAAATAGGATCAGATAGATATATGCAAAGTAATGTATGTTTCGTTACACGATTATATAATTTTACATGGCTTTGTACATAATTTTGTACGAGGCTGCTTAATGCTGTTTATGTATAAATATATATAATCCCTCATTAAATATAATTATGTAGACGTACACATAATTTATTATTATTTATTATTAAATAAATTATATATAAATGTACATAATTTATATGCAATTTTGTACAACTATATAGCATTTGGTATTTCATAATTGACATTGGTTTCTGTGTCTCGCTTATAAAAAATAATATATTTGTATAGAATTTATTGTTTTCTTAAAAGTTCTGTTATATCGCTGAAAAAAATCAATATTGCTTGGTAATGAGGCATTATTATTTAAAACAAGAATTCCAAACTATTTTTTTAAATTTTGACTATTGTGTAAATTGTTTTAAACCATTTTCTATCAGAATAATAATTTGTTGAAAACCTCACAGCAGTTATGTAAGTACTTGCACACTGATACACATTATACTAATATTTGTCGCATACATAATGTTGATCCATCATTTCAATGTTGCGAGTAAATATATTATAATGCTCCGTGAATACTTAACGATACGTTATATAAGTCCTGATAGCATCGTTATAGCCGTTAAGATCTCCGCGTGTCTCTCGATCTTCAAAGTTAAGGAACACATACCGTTGTCATAACATGGACAGCTGATCACTACAGATCAAAAACATTTCTTTGACGGATTAGTTTACTTGAAGTGACCTCTATAGTACATTATCAAAATATTTAAAATTTTGCTTGAAATTACCACAAATTTACCAAAGCATCTTTCTTCTAAATGTTGTAATATATTTTCAGTTTTTTTAAGTAGATTTTCATAAGGAAAGAATATTGTCATCCTTACACCAATGAATATTCATAGGCTCTTATATTGTTAGTTACAATTTATCTTGTCAACAACATTTTCGATATAATCATATTTGTATTCGTTATTAGTGTCACGTGTATTATTACTGGTTATACATCTATATATAAACATTCCTGTTACACTCTGGGAACTTATCGAGTTTCGCGCATTATTTCGAAGTAAATATTACAAACAAAATACTAGTAAATGACAATTACTAAGACGTATTGCGGTGGATTTAAAGAAATTAGTAGATTTTGTGGGGCCATACACAGAAGGTAATTATAATCAGTTTTTTAATCCAAATGTTTGTCATGTTTGTAAAACATGGCTCAGCAGAAGCTTAATAACTTGTAATCAGTGCCATATGATTTCTTACTGTTTCATGGAGCACCAGGAAAGAAATAAATGTTCACATTTGGAAATCTGCAAAGTTATAGCAACTGCAATAATGGACAAATACTTTTGGGTCACATACCGCAACCCGGAAGAATGGATAGAATCACGGAAAGAAATTTTACAAAAAATACTAACTACTCTATCACGCTGCGCATACCGATATGAAACGGAGATGATAATGTGCACTAAATCGTGTTACGTGTGTTTTCGACAGGCAAACATAAGGCTCTGCAGCACTTGCTATTCAGCCAATTTTTGTGATGATTACCAAATATTATTTAATCTATTTCATAAAAAATACTGCGATGAGTTGTTGCTGTTACTGAATACGAATATCGCCTATATTAACGGCTGTATGAAGAAGACAGTCGAGTGTCGATACGGACAAAAGTTCCTCTCATTTCCTGGTGAGAAACCTTATCATAACATTATTACATTTCTTAAATATTATATACCCACAAAAGATACACAGTATAATATTAAACTTTTATACATAGAATAATATTAAAGATTCGTAATATAATATTAAACTTTCCTTATTCAACTCAGCACTGGACATGTGAACATTATAAATGTTATGCATATGTATCCGGTCCGATGACGTTATACTACGCATTGCAGGAATCAAACTTATTATCACTTCCATGCACTGAATGTAAACACATTGTTCATGTTATAGATATAATTAAAATAGATGGAATGTATTTACATATTTGGCATATTTTCTTACATATTTAAAAAAAATAGAACAGCTGTATATTGTATTTATCAAATCGTCATTGTTCGAATCCAAAGATCTAGGGTTTGTGTGTTCTACGTGCAATAACTATAATCAGAAACTTTATGTTAAATATGTATCAGAGCAATACCACAATTATGTACGCTCGGATTTATATGGGCAACCAAATGTGATTGTACTAGTTGAAATAGAAGCTTTATTTCTAGGAAAATGGTTTGAATCTATAACAGCAAGAATAACGCAAGAGTGTCCGTTGCTTTTAACCGCCCATTTGGAAAATATAGCGCAAGAGAATGTAGATAAGATAGAAGATGTGATAGGAGCAACCAGAATTCGAATATACAGAAAAAATAATAAATTTGTCGGTTGTCCACCCTATAGAAACTGTGTAACTGGAGGATTTTATTACCGAAATACGCATTTTATAATGTATTCATGAATTTAAATCACACGACCCACCCATTCAAGAAAGTAATGTATTGTTTTATCGTAATTTCACTTCAGTACAAATGTGATAGCACTCATTTCTTAATAAAATTCAGGAATAAATATCAATTTTCTTACTGAGGGATGCATTCAGACACAAATCAATAGTATTTTATTTCTTATTTTTTCAGAATACGTTAAACTTATTATATAAGAGATAATAGAATGATTACGGCATACATAATATCTTAAAATTTTACACTTTGTCGCATGCAATTCCATAATTATAGGTATTATATATAGCTACGATCATTCTCTACTGAATTATGTATAATTATCTTGTAAATTTTTCCTTTATCGTCCGCATGTTCTGCAAATGATATGTGATAGGAATAATTGTAAAACGTTTTATATAAGTTTTATTTTTATGTTGTGTCTTGTACTAAACATAATTTGTTGCATCTTTTACAACTTTTACTTTTTAAATTGTCAAAATATATTAAAAGATATAAAAGCAATCTTACCTTCCGAGCTTTCTCATTTTATTGTAAGTTAAATACAAGTATAATCATAGTCGCCAATAAAATGTAAACTTTTTAATGCGTTCGTTAGTAAATGTATATTAGGTTTTTCTCTCCTGTGTTTGTAGAGATGTAGCATATGTACACTTTGCTTTAATACGTTCTGAACACTTTCTGATATATTCCTGGATATATCCTATAATCTAATAAATAATAAAATTTAATTTTACGTAATCACTAAAAAAGGAATTCTTTCATTGTGTTGGCTATCGGCTATGTTCTAAAACGTACCCGGGTAAAAATTGTTAATACCATGCTTAAACGAAATGTATATATGGTTGCATACAATTATCCATTAAATATCGCATTATTTTCCACGATTAGTGGTAAGTATAGCATATAACAGCTTACTGGACATATTGTAAGGTTATGAGTATCATGGAAAACTAATCACGCTGAAAAAAAATATATTTCAATATTTATTTGTGCGATATAAAGTGTATTGTGAAACATTCGTGAATAGAAATAAACTTTATTTCGCACAAATAAATTATATATTTTATAAATATATTTTGATGTATTTGTTCTGAATACTTCCGCCGACTAGTCAGAGTTAATTGGTATCACTAATTTGTATATGCTCGTTTAAGTTAAATAACTTGTACCTTAGTCAATAAAAAGATTGGATGATTACCGAATGATGGGACTATTCGTATTACGACGTGCAATGTTTGCTTTTAATATACCGCTAAAAGTCTTCAAGGTGAAATTTTAACACAGTTTTTTACATGAACTACTTAACTTCTCTATATGAAGGATCGGAGGAATCTGAAAGATTAGCCTACTCTTCTTCTAAAAAAACGGAATTTATAGAAAGTTATTTACAGTTGTTTGGTTATTTACTTACAACAATGTTTAAGTAACATACAAATATAATTTAAAAGTTACTTATTACATGACAGTATTTAAAATTTCAATTACTTAACTACCCGTTATGTAAAACTGTTTTTTTAATATTATATATAATTAAATAAAATTAGATAGATGTATTAAAAGTTATGTATATTTCGTTACATTATTACATATAATTTTGTATGATGCTGCATAATGCTGCTTATTTATAACTATATATAATTGCTAATTAAATATAATTATATATAAAAATACATATACTACTATACTATATAGTTACATAAATTTATATGTAACTATATAGTATTTAATATACTTTAATTGACTTTGGCTTGTGTGTGTCTCTCATTCAAAATAATATATTTATAGAGAACTTATAATTTCGTTAAAAGCTTTGTTACATCGTTAAAGGAAATTCATGTTAATTCATAATGACGCATTATTATTTTAAATAAGATTTCCCAATAGTTTTTTGAATTTTTGGTTATTGAGGAAATTTAAATTTTGAACCATTTTCTGTTTAGGTTAATTATAATAATATCTTGTTCAAAAACTTAAAGCAGATATGTTTAACTATTAGTTAAACATAACTGCAGTTATTATTAACTAGCACAGTAACACGCATTACACCAACATTTGTCGCATATATAACGTTCATCCGTTATATCAATGTTTGAGAGTAAATATATTATAATGTTCTATGAATATTACAACGGTACATTATATAAGTCCTAAAAATATCGTTATAACCATTAAGATGCCGCTCGTCCATCAAAGTTAAGTAACACTTACCGTTGTTGGAACATAGAAAGCTGATAACTACATATAAAAAAATGTCCTCTTAACGGATTAGTTCATTTAAAGTATTCTTTCTAGTACATTACCAAAATGTATAAAGTTTTGTTCGAACATAGCACAAATTTACTAAAGTATATTCCTTTTTAAACTTTACGGTATATTTTCAGTCCTAAAGTAGATTTTCATAAGGAATGTATCATATTGTAATCTCGCACTGATGAATATTTCTAGTTCCTCATATTAGTAGTTACAATTTATTTTGTCAACAACTTTTTCGATACAAACATATTTGTATTCGTTATTAGTGTCGCGTGTACTATTACTGGTTAAACATATATATATAATTCCTGTAAATATTTCTTTTACACTCTGTAAGTTGTCGAGTTTCGCGCATTATTTTGACGTAAATATTACAAGCAAGGTATTCATAAATTATAATTAAGAAGTTTTGCGATGAATTCAGTCGTGTATTCAAACCAGATATTAAGATTTTATGGACCATACACAGAAGAAAAATATAACCAGTTTTTCAATCCAAACGTTTGTCATGTTTGCAAACGGCCCAGCAGATACTTAATAACATGTAATCAGTGCAATATGATTTCTTACTGTTCCAAGGAGCACCAGGAGCTACATAAATATTCACACTTCGAGATGTGCAATGCTATGTCATTTGTAATAACGGACATATCGTTTTGCGACACATACCGTAATTCGGAAGAATGGATGGAATCACGACAAGAAATTACAGTAAAAATACTGGCTGTTCTATTACGCAAAACATACCGGTATGAAACAGAGATGTTAATATTCGCGAAATCATGTTATGTTTGTTACAAACAATTAAACGTCAAGCCGTGCCAAATTTGCTATTCAGCCAATTTTTGTGATGATCATGAAATACCTTTTAACCTAAAACATACGGATTGTTGCGCCAAGCTGTTGCTATTACTGAACATGAATATCATCTATATTAACGGTTCAGTGAAAGGGATTATGTCTGAATTCAAGTTCGTCAGATTTCCTGGTGTGAGACCTTATGATGACATTGTTACATTTATTAATAATTATGTATTAGGCAATAATTTATGTACTCTTCCTAATTACGTTTCTAATTCAACACGCTATTGGAAATTAAAACCTTACATATTTTCTGATTATGTATCTGGTCCGCTGACATTGTACTACGCGTTACGGGAATCAAACTTATTATCTCTCTCTAGCATCACGCCTAAATATATCGTTCATCTTGTAGATGCAGATATAATAGATGTTATATCTTCGCAATTTTGGCATATTTTCTTACATATCTTTCGAAGAGTAAAGGAACTACATATTGTATTTATAAAATCGCCAATATTCGAATCCAAATATCTAGGGTCTGTATGCTCTATGTGCAGACGCTATGGACAGAAAATTTATGTTAAATATGTAGCAGAGCCGTACTACGATTATGTACACTTACAGTCCTTTGAAAAACCAAATGTGATTGTGCTACTTGAAACAGAAACTATTTTCGTAAGAACATGGTTTCATTCTATAGAAGCAGTAATAGCTCAAAATTGTCCGTTACTTTTAACCGCAGATTCGAAAAGTACAGCAGAAGAGAATGTAGATAAAATACAAGAAGAAACAGGTACAAGTAGAACACGATTGTACAGAAAAAATAAATTCCGCGGTTGTACACCATACAGAGATTATATAACTGGAGGATTTTATAACCGAAATGCGCACTTTATTATGTATTCATGAATTTAAATCACATGACCGACCCAGTCCAAGGCTAAGAGTAATGCGTTGTTTCATCATAATTTAATTTTAATATATATTTGATGACATTACATTTTTAATAGAATTCAGGAATAGATAGTAATTTTCTTACTGAGGGACATATTCAGAAACAAATGAATAGTATTTAATTTCTTATTCTTTCAAAACACGTATACCATGTTATATATAAGATAACAGAATGATTACCGCATACATAATGTCTTAAAATTTTACAATTTGTCGCATGTTATTCCGTAGTTATAGGTATTATATGCAGCTACAGTCAATCCATAATGAGTTTTATGTAATTATCTCGTAAATTCTTCCTTTATCGTCTGCGTGTTCTGCTAATGATATGTGATAGGAATAATTGTAAAACATTTTATATAAGTTATACTTTTATGCTGCACCTTGTAATCATTATAACTCGTTGCATCTGTTATAATTTTTACTTTTCAAATGAAAGTATATTAAAAAGCATAAAAATAATCTTGGAAATATTAGTGCTTTCTAAATTTTCACGTTTTATTTTAAATTAAATACAAGTGTAATAATAATCGCCAATAAAATATAAATTTTTTAATAGTATACATTCGTTAGTAAATAAATATTATGTTTCACTCTCCTCCTTTTGTAAAGAGATAGCATATGTAAACTTTGCCTTAATACGTTCTGAACACATTCCTGGATATATCCTATAATCTAATGAATCATAAAACTTAACTTTACGTAATGACTGAAAAAGTAATTCTTTCATTGTTTTGGTTATCGGCTATGTTCTAAAACGTATACGGGTAAAAATTGTTCGTACTGTGCTCAAACGAAATATATATATGATTTCATAATATTATCCGTTATATATCGCATTATTTTCCACGATTAGCGGTAAGTATAGCATAAAATAGCTTTCTGAACATATTATATGGTTATGAGCATCATGTTACAACTAAACACACTGAGAAAAACTACATTTCAATATTTATTTGTGGAATATAAAGTATATTGTGTAACACATTTGTATATAGGAATAAACTTTATTTCACAGAAATAAATTTTATATCCTGCAAATATATTTTCAAGTATTTGTTCTAAGTGCCTCCGCAAACTAGTCAGAGCTAATTGGCATCACTACTTTGTATATGCTCGTTTAAGTTAAATAAATTATGCTGTAGTCAGTAGAAAGAATGGGTGATCACCGATTGATGGTATTACGACGTACAATGTTCGCTTTTAACGTATTGCTAAAAATCTCCAAGATGAAATTTTAGTACAATTTTTTACATGGACTACTTAACCTCTGTATTTGAGGGATCTGCAGAAACTGAAAGATCAGCGTACGTTTCTTTTACGAAAAGTTATTTGTTATTTGAAGTTACATAAAATTATTTAAAGTTTGTTATGAAATATACTAACAATTACACACATAATCTTTAGGTTATTTAAATTTACTGAACACAGTATATTTTTAGGTGATTTACTTACTACAATGTTTAAATAACATAAAAATATACATTGTAACTTACTTTTGACAAAATAATACTTAAAACTTTTATTACTTAACTGCCCATTATATAGAAACTATTTTATATACAATTATATATAACTAAATAAGACTAGGGTTTCTAAGAATAATAAAGAGCGAACACGAATGTAGTGTTATCTTAATAGTACAAACGTGCAGGGTTGGGAACGTTATTTTTGAAAGTAACGCGTTACCGTTACCGTTACTTGCGGTAAAAAGTAACTCGTTACCGTTACATATTACTGATTCTAAAAAGTAACGCGTTACCGTTATTTGAAAAGTAACGACAAAAAAATCGTTACTTTCCGTTACTTTTGTAAAAAAAAAGTTAAAATCGGCATATAAAACGAATAGTAGAAGAGACTGTACATAAATTATACATATATAAAGACAAAATATAAACGGGAAGCACACTATATTGCATAACGACATAAAATCCATACTACATTAGTCGCAAGTCGCAAGGTCGCAAAGAAATTGACTAATCATAGTCGATTGTTCTCCTTGCGATCGAAAAATAATCAATTATGATTGGTACAATATCTTTGCGATCTTGCGATTGCGACTAATGTAGAATGGGTTTAGGGGCGTCGCACATGAATTGACATAACAGTAACGTAAGACGTACCGTAAAAATGGACCAATTACTATCGAGTATTCACAAAAATGGGGACCTTACGGTTCGACGATACTCAAAGTGATTGGTCAGTTCTTACGGTACGTCTTACGTTACTGTTATGTCAATTCTTGTGCGACGCCCCTTAAGTGTGGTCTACAATGAGAACTTAAGCCATAAAATTTAAGCTTTAAATCCTAAGCCGTAAGAAGTTGATCAATCACAGTCAATTATAAGAAAAATAATTTCTCACGGCTTAGAGATTAAAGCTTAAATTTTATGGATTAAGTTCTCATTGTAGGTCACGCTTTAGAAGCTTTCTACAGTAAGCAAAAAAATTTAAGTCGCAATAAAATTGACCAATTACAGTGGATTATTCTTCTAATAATCGACTATGATTGGTCGATTTTATTATGACTT